GTACAACGCCTTTACCCCTTAGAAGTCCGTTGCAGAAATGAAGAGCCAGAAACGACAATATCTCCCAGGAGAGCAGAGCCTGATCCAGCTGTCAGTAGTGTGAGACCTGAACAACACCCTGAACTTAGACGTGATCGCCCGAGAAGGGTAGCTGCAATAGAAGCAGACCGAAGACGGAAGACATGGATAGAGAATTTGAACTGAGGAACCTAAGTGACTTTGAACTCTTGTTGTTATTGTTAGCATTTCTTTCAAACGATGTAGGGGAATGTGTTGACCAGGGTAGTCTAGAAAGTCTGTTTATTCATTTATCTGGTCAACAGGGGGGAGTGACACGGATGTCGTTACATATGTCGTGACATCGCGTCACGACTATGTTCGCAATGTATTATGGATAAATAATACATTATAAATGTTGTATTTTTGGAAAATGAGCCTTTATCCTGTCTCGAATGATTGAGCGAACCGCGAACTACGACAGAGCAACAACAGATTGTTAAAATTGAATATTTTACACTCGAGCAGTAAGTACGCCTCGAGATGTTGAGCGAAGAGAAAGTGCCTCCATGTTTTGTGAGACTAACCGTTTCCTGAAGTTCGAGCGAATCGAGTAGGAAGCATCAAAACATAGCGCTGCGAAGTACCATGATTTAACATTGAAATTCAGTCATTCCGCAGTGGGACTAACTCCAGTTTACTCAACTGAGTTTGTTTGCATCACACATTTGCGGTCCGTAATTTAATTCTCAGTTGTTTGACGGGTTCTCACTTGACAATATTGTCAAAATCAAATTACTGCGTCAGACTTAATGTAAACAAGAACATCGCTGACTCAATCTTACTTTATTTCAATATCGGAAAAGGTCGTTACTTCGTTCTTAGGGTGAAATATCACTTCTTCGACAAAGTGCGATTTTTTGGAATGAATAGAATAAATCCTGCGATAGTTAACTGAAGAGACAGAGGTAGAAACTTGCGCTCGCCGTTCGCTATCATTTGAAAACTTTCTAGGCAAAACAAAATGCGTAAGATAACTTCTTTTCCCTTAACACGGCCACGATTGTATTAAACATTCCAAACGACAGGATAAGAAATACCTGAAGAATACGAACACTTCGAAATGTTATTCGAGCGATGAACCGGCGCGAGGGTTTTTAGGCGATGAATACCAAAGTCATTGTTTTACCGAAACGTGGTTTCAATTATAAACTGAAGCTAGTATTAAACGACGATTGGTGAAAAAGATTTGAATTTTTCTGGGCCTTAGCGTGAGAGAAAACCCAGATAAGACACGACTTACCTCCTCTTCTTTCTCGGATCCTTTGTAGTTCGCTTCTCTTTGTTGATAACCTCTTTTCAGTCTGTTTTCAGGGGCGTCCTTGTATTTCCTTCTCGCGTTGCTCTTCGCTAGACATTCGCCTTTTTACTCATGCCTTTTATTTTTCTCTTTTGCGTTTCTCTTGTCGTATTCTGCCTATTTTGGTGTCCTCTCTAACTTTCTTGCGCGTTTTTCTCGACTCGCTTTACGCCTTTTACTTATTGTTTATTTCAGCGGTCGCTCTGTCTCTTTCTTCTCAGCCTATTTTCACTCAAAACCCTCTCTCCACGACCTTGAATTATAACAATTTCCTCCGGTTGACAAAGCCTTAGCTCTGCCGGTATTGTTGCTTTGCGAGTTGATTAGAAATTGTAAAATACTGAGAATTACTGTTCAACTTCAACCTCACCAGTTTGATTTCCCGCTCTAAACGCGGGTTACTAGCCCACGTGAAGCCCTCGTGTAATGCCTAACTGTGTGCCCGCGGTACATTACACTCAACCACGACACTCGAGTGTGCGCACTTCACTGTCATCGGCCGGTGTCTCCTGGCCCACACTAATGGGTTATCCAAGTTACGCACGCAATCGCGCCCGCACATTACCTTCTCCCTCAGATTGTGCAGTTTGAGCAGTTAAACTTTTTAAGCTAGTTATGCATTTTCTCCGGTTCAAGCATTGAAACTAGTATGACGACTTTAACCAATCAAGATAGAGGATGTAGCAATCTCGAGCCCAGGGTCATTATGGCTCCTTGTTAGCGGTATGATCGCCAAATAGTGACCTCCTGGAAGAATTGATTGATTCAATTTTTTTGATTGGTTGATAGGAAACACTAGACTCCAAACAGGAAGTGTGATTTACGAATGGGATCGATCGGGTCGGAAATAGAGCATTAACAACGATAAATTTGAACTGTTCTTACTGATGTTATTGTTGTCGTTTTTTTTTTCTTGCGTGAAAGTTTTCACTTGTAAACTGCCTGTCGATGCGTGAGAAAACATTCATCCAAAGTCGCTGCTTCCTGCAATGGCGGGAAGCCGTTCTTTATGGAACGGTGGATTGCTGTCGTTTTTGTCAAAGACGTATAACAAGAAATTAATCATTAAATTAATTTTTTTTGAGTGAAAAGCAGAAAAGAAGATATTGTAGAGGCCGTACGAGCGTACGGAAATGTACTTTTGCGAAAGAGTTCGACATCAGTATAGCATAGTATTCAGTATCAAAGAAGATATCGAGAAGCCTAAATATGTAAGGAAATCGCGAAGAATTTGATTTAAAAAACAAAAACGATGTCTGTTGCCTCCGAAGCCCTTCTCAGGCCACAGTTTCAATATCTGCTTTACCACAAGTAAACCACTCAAAAGATCCATTATACCCACGTCTTGAGTACTCCGAGAAGACACTTCTGATGGAAAACACAGAGGTAATCGTTTCATATTTATCTATGAACCTTACGACCCATTAGATCCTTCTTTTCTATTACCTATGCCTTAATATTAATTTAACCAGGAAATTAACAGGGATTAAAATACTTGGGAAGGCTGGCCATAGAAATCCTGAGGTCCTTGAGTATGAGGGTTTTATATGATGCTACATTTACATCTAGTTTGTGAAAAGCATTTTTTTCATAATTACATTATACGTGTGTGTCATTCAAAATTCTATGTCAATATATTTTTGTCCAATTTAGTATGATCAGAAACATGCAAAAGAGTTTAGTTCATTCAAAATGACCATATTTATCAATACACATATTTAGTTGACAGAACATGCAAATACTTAATTAAGAAAGGATGAGGTACATATGCTATGGGTTGCATCACAGACAAGGCTTCCAGCCGCCAGCTGTTGCGACCTTCTTGTAGTGTCAAATCATGTGCTAAATATCAGTTTCCCGAGGAGATTGGTGAACAGTGCAGAGGCCGATGTGGACAGAAACACGGAACTGCTGGCTTTTATGTGTTACATGTAACAATGAATAGCACCAAGTTTTCCCTTGAGGTTTCAATTGGAGCAGCTTATCAAAGAAATGATAGATTGAGCTCCTAACTTGTTTGATTTCATGGCCATTGTGAGGATATTGTTGTACAAGAAGATGGAAGTCAACTCCAATCGTAAGGTGAGTATCATTTTAGTAACTACAAGCAACATTTGAAAAATAAGACTTGAACTAAAAGTTGTAACAGACTGAGAGAAATAATTTTACTTCATCTTTCCTTTTAGTGAAGTAATGATATAATTTTAATCTTGAAACATCACCAGCTTAAAAATTTCAAAATGTGAATCTTCCATAGTTTTTTTTCTTCAGTAAACTCAGGGTCAAGTAGTAGCCTCAAAATTTTGCAAAATATTGCAAAATATTGCAAAATATAACACATCAAGTAACAACTTTTATTTTTGCTTCCTAAAGTTATTTTGAAACAAGTAAATAGTACAATATTTGTTAAATAATTTTATTCTTATTTGAAATAATAACAAAGTACATTAAAATAACAGGACAATATCAAAGCAGAGTTAGAAGAAACTTGTTTCGCATGTTTTCATTGTTAAGTAGATCAAGAAAAAGTTAGGAAAGTTTTCTGAGGTAAGTCGTATGTTAGGGGCGAATAAATGGGTGTTTTTATAAGAGTTTCAAAACATTGATGTTTTTCTTTGTTTTTTAGTCATCCCGGCTCAAGCGCAGTCATCTGTAGAATCATCAGCTTTTGCGTCAGGAGCAGAAGCAGGAGGACTTCACTGGAATCTAAACCAGTCGCTGCTAGAGTTTGCTGTTGTTCCTTTTTCGTTTCCTAAATGCTTGCTCAAAGTCCATCCTTACAAACTAACTAGCAGGCAATCGATTCACCCCGCGCAGGGACCTGAAAACATCGTAAAAGCTGCGTTAAAGGCCATCACTTATCCCTGAAAAAAAATTCAATTTGAATGAATTTTTTTTCAGGCCTTACTTTCACTACATCTCAAGTGGTATCTTTACTGCGAAGATCGCTTTCAAATTCACGTCTTTATCCGCAGTTCACATATATGATTTTCATATGTTCACAGTCATTTATTCATTACTTCACGGGTTTGTTAAGAACCTACATACATACATACATACATTTATTGAATACATCCCCATCTGGGGCTTTTCAGTGAACAAATTGGATTACAGAATTAAAATACATACACTACAATACGAATTATATATCTATAAATAAAATATGGTCAGTTTAAACATTCATTCAAAAGGTGATTTTTAGAGCTCTCCTAGAGGAAGGGGGACTCTTACATAAGTTAAGGCTTGGATCTAACTTGTTCCAGAGAGATACACTTTTATAATAAAGCGTTTTTTGTCCTGTTGCAGTTTTAAAAAGAGGAATGTTTAGTCGTTGGATATTTAGTCGCTATATAATGACAAACTCCCAGTTGGCTTGTTAACTCAGTTGGTAGAGCACCGCGTCGGTATTAAATCCCTTACAGGCCTGAATTTTTTCAGGCCTTATTTTCACTACTGCTCAAGTAGTATTCATTACTGCTAAATTCGCTTTCACATTCATATAAAAATTATTATTGTAACAACCTTCAGTTGATCGCAAAAATAGAAATAACGGGTTTTAAAGCAGACAGGAAAGGAAAAGGAAAGCTTTGACGCTGTTGTATGACTTCCGTTAACAATCATGACAATTGTCTTTTGCTTCTTTATTTCAACTCTCTCATAAACTTTTCATTGTTAACTACCTCCTGATGCTGTTCGTATCTAAGGTAAAGAAACTGCATTCATACCAGTATTCGTCTTTGTTGTTTAAAACTATTAACTACTTTTTTTCGAGTTCAGGGTTCAAGGTGAAATCGCTAGTTGCCAAAACCATTTTGTCAAATTAAGTACAGGCTGTGTAGTACGACAAAAAAACAATTTTTCTGTCTGGTCACCTCCGTTAATCCTTACGCGAACTTTAAACCAAAGTACCAACTGAACCCATTCACTTTATTTTTCGTTGTCATGAGTCAAAAATCATTGTAGGTTAGGGACGCAATATCCAAATTGATAAGAAAAAATGTTCAAAGGAAGAATCATGATTAACCATGCATGTTCATCTTGTTATTTAAGTACGGATTCTTTCCTTATAAAGTGGTGACAACATTAGTAACTGTGGACTGCTCAGGCCGGGTCATTAAGGACGACTCCGCTTCCCTTTTGCGATGGCTGCCTGCTGATTATTGGGCGCTACTTCTCTTTCCGAATCCTAAAAAAAGAAAGCGCATATTCATTTAATCGACATAACAGTGCAGGAAATTAAGTTATCCTCTGGCCACCGAATGTGGAGTAAATGATGATGAAATCCTGATCAAAATTGTATCATTTAGACACTAATGTAACGTCTCTAACAAAGTATTAAATCGCGACAGTATTCTCGGTGTTTCAGTACTTTTTTAAAGGTTTTCTTATTATTCAAGACCTCGGCTGTCTTTCGACACACGATCTTGACTGTGGACCTGTCAGGTTGGGGTCCGCATGGCCTTCTCCAGAACTGCAGCGACGTTTGGAGTGCGGAAAGACGAGTAAGATCATCGCGCAAGATGTATGTTAAAAGCTGTGCATGAAGAGTCTAATACTGGCAAAATGATGGTGACCTTCGACTAACATAATTGAGGATTTCACTGACAATTTAAATGCTTTAATATATGCTAAATTCTTGCATTTGTTCCATAGTTCGCGGGAATTTTTTTTTGTCAGTCGCATTATTCTATGACCAGGGTGTCTATGACCAGTGCGTCAGTTCCAAACTTGGAATGAACACCTAACCCCATTTTTTTTTCCGTTTTAGAAAACGTTGTAATTTAATATTAGTAACTCTTTCAACTCGCACAGCTCATTGAACAATCTCTCTTGCTATGTTACTTTACCATGGGGCAGTTTAATGAAGACATTTTGTTTTCCTGTGCCGTCACGCTCAGCCTGTTACTCTCATGGAAGGTTCGTTTTACTTGGAACGAACTGTCGGTGACGTCATGATTGTCGTTAGCAGGCTAAAAGGCAAGGAAGGTTTTATAATTTAGTCATTTAGTCTTAGAATCCTTAAATCAAAATATCAATTTGAGATGCAACCTAAATAAACACAGAACACCAACCTTGACTTGAACAACTCTGGCTGAGCTCTTGCGTTTGAAAGAAAGTCTCCCTATAGCAAGTTGAAATTTGTCCATATTTAGACACAAGATTATAGAGACAACTGAATAAATTCATTACTTGCCCAAGTCCTTTCTCTTTTGAGAGAATCGTTTTGTTCGGCTACAGTACAGTAAACGAGAACTCGAAATGAGTGAAGTATGAACAGCTGATCATGTGACACTGTTCGACAATATCACGGATAACAAGTCGTCACTGTAAAAGCAATGTAATTTATAGTGGATAGAAAGGAAATCCTGGAAGAAACCCCTAAATTTGTCCTTTTGTTTTCTTTTGAGGCTTCTTTTCTCAGTGCCTGCATTGGCGATCACTTTGTCGATATCTGCTTTTTTTCCCGCCATTTATAATCTAAAATTTATTTGTTATTTATCTATAATGACTCTATAATCAATCCATATTCACTCATTTTGTCAAGAGGGCATCTTACCTTTGAGCTTACTAAAACTGTTGGAGTTCGACGTTTTCTTGCTTCCAGATTCCGACTGCCGAAAAAGAAATAACATAGTGGGAACATTTGCAACCAACCATCACTTAATTGAAGACCTAGAAATCTGCAATGTAGTTGGTTGTGCTTCCACATGACTCCGGCCAAAACGCAAATATGATCTCTCCAAACTTCGTCACTGAAAACCCGAAATTTTGTCAAAATCGAGTTTAGATTTAGCTCCATGAAATTAAAAATAACGTTGTTCCCTGGCGTCATTCTTGTGAACTCTTTTCCTTTTTCACAATTCTGTTCAGAGTGATTGCATTGTAAGTTCATTGTAAATTCTTACCGAGAGTGAGAAGGATGCATTATATTGAGACATATTTTCCTTTGTGAGGGAATGTTTCTCTCTCTGCCGGCGAAAAGCTTGGCGGACCTGAAAAGAATATATTTAGTGTATAGTTTTTTCACTACGTGTCATTGATTTATGGAGCTTTCAAGAAATAGAAACCACTAAAAATTGGATGACGATTTCTTTGACTAACGATCGTGTCTGCGTCACGTGTTACCTAGAAAGTGCCATGTAATTCTGGTTATGTGAGATATTCCTTGTTATAACATAGAGCGCGCCTAAGGCCTACCTATTTCCTAAGGAGCTACCATGGTAAATGTCCTTATGTACTGCACGGCCGTGCATTCATCACACGATGTGTGAAATTTAACTTCGGCTAAAAGTTCCCCTTGAGTTTAGCCGTGAGGTTCCAAAACTTTCAAGATTTTTTCCCCGCTCTATCTCGATTGAGATAGACCTTTTGGAGCTCAAAATGAAAACGAAACATGCTCGTTTGATGTTCGTTCCGAAAAACAATGAGTATCTAGCTCTTTCAAGCGACGAAATTAGTTTTGGAGTTGATGATACTTCATTCACAAATCATGCATGGCCTCTGACTTCAACTGCATGAGGCCTTGCGACTTTGGGTAATCTTCATCAAACGGTAAATATTATTTTGAAGTGTTGGTATGTCCTAAAAAATTTATTCAATGTTTTGAAATCGTACAATTTTCAGAACTTTCAGCACAAAGCTACGCAATTTTCTGGTCGTAAATTCTAGTAAACACCAATTCAAGCAGGGTAAATCTACCACTTAGGTCTCGTGTATGAAAGAAATTTGTAAGTTTTTAGGCTCGTCTTTAGAACGGTTGATATTATTTTAAAGTGTTGATATTTTCTTAAAGTGTTTCGTTCAATAAAATATTTTAATTTTAAAACCGTACAATTTCAGAATCTTAAAAATGTTCAACACAAACCTACGCAATTTTCTGGCCGTAAACAACGATTCAAGCATGCTGAATCTACAACATGCTCTCGTACATGCAAGATTTGGTCATGAAATATTTCTAAGTCGTTTTTGCCTTGTCGTTTATTCATAGTTTTCGGGTAGAACACGATTACCTGGTTGACCCGACACAGTTGTAATAAACTCTTTCCTTCGAGCACAACTTGTGTCTGCATGCTATGTTATAAAAGAATTGGTTCATGCTTTAGCTGTGCTTGATGCACTTGGGAAGTTTGGAGAACACTTAAAAAGCTACAGTTGCTCTCGGTTTGTGCCTCAAGCAACTCTTACGCTTCTCTCGTGCTCTCCAAACTTCCCGCGTGCATCCATAGCTCGATATAGATACGCTAAGCATGGACCAATTCTTTATTATTATTGATATACCTCACCTACCTCACTGTTAAAAACACAGTGCAGCAAGAAAATCAGTAAGCCCTGAGAAAAAAAGTTAGACGACGTTGTGTAATGGTGTAATATTTAAGAATTAACCTGAGCACGCAGGTTGTTTTATGAATATCACAGAAGTGGGAAAGTTGGGTGAGCCTGAAGTCAATGCTTCCGGCACACTTTTCTTTGAGCTTATTTCTCTCTTGATTTTCAAAGCGTATTGACACCAGAGGCCTGTTAAGGTACCGGTTTAAAATGTTTCAACCGAGTAAATTACTCATTCGCACTAGGGAAGTTTAACTAAGACACTGGAGCTATGGGATTACTTCAGCCAATTATTTATCAGCAGCTTCACCAAGCTCAACCCTTAAGATTTGAATCAAAATCTTCCTTTTTCATTGTTTAATGTCCACAGATACTATCGGTAAGATTTTTATATTACATTAAGATCACACCCTTTAACTAATAAGTTTGTCTTTTCTAATTACATGGATGGTATCATGATATGAGGGGAAATTAGATGTTAATCATCTCTGTGAATCATGTGTTTTTTTCCCATATGTTTTAGATTCAAATGTTACAAGACTCCTTCACAACTCGACATGTTTAACACACTCACCTGAAATCCATTTACGATAGCAAATGCATAAATGAAAACCTTTGTGCCATCGTTCAATGCAAATAATCCAAGAATCCAGCCCACACCAAGAAGGGGCATCAGCACAAACAGTCCCTTGATTCCAGCTCTGAGAAAGCAACATGAATCCATGAAAGAAAAACAATCGGCCTCAATGAAATGGATGCACCGGATAATAAAGCTGATTATTTTTTTCGCTGTGTTTATGAATACTTACTTTAAATGGGCGCGGTCGGAGCTTTTTACAGCGGACGCAGAAGAGACAACAGTTTTGATCACCATTATCAAGACAAATGTGTTTACCTGAAAATGAGAAAAAAACAAAAATTTTCTCGATTACATAAATATCCACATTTTCCCAGCCTCTTAGCTGAGAAATGCTTAGAATCTGTTTTCAAAAGGCAGATCTACAAAGTCTAAAAATAAGGTGGTAAGCATAGTAGACCGATTATAGCTTGGAGAAGCCAGAGGGCAAGCTCTTGCAATCTGGATGAAATTGTAAACAATTTTTTGGGAATTAATGTATTTGATAAACTTCTTGAAGGCTCACAATGTATCTCACGATATAAAGTTTACCTTTTCATTCCCGGCTTATTCTAGCCTCGTTTTTACAAACTTAAGTCGAATTTTCACCTTATACTACCAAAAATTGATCGCTATAAAATGAATGAAGACGGGCGTAGCTGTTATAAGACATGATTTCTTAGGATGCAAGCCAAATTATCTGGAAATTTCTTGCAACCTCTCCTTTCGCTAAAAGTACGGAAACGAGCAAGACACTATTCAGTTCCATGCTAGTTTCCCTTAATAGAAAAAAATAGTTAAGAAACAAGAAAAGAAGCAGAAAAGACTGACCGGCAACGTGTAATGTACAGACAACATCCATCCGAGTAAATAATTTCACATATTTATGTTACTAAGACTACGTTGAAGTCAAAATGAATTAAATACAAATATCCATGATGATATCAAACATACTGTAATAATGGCAACAACAGGTCCAATAAAGGCCCAGATGGTGCCATCCTTAGTAGAGAGCCAACAGCTGTAGAGATAAAAAAAAAAAAAAAAAAAGAAAAATCGTTTGTGCAATCAATCCCTCATTTCAAGATATGGAGCACAAGGAATACTTACACTTCACTGTTACCATAACTGTTTGAGTTTATAGCAAATGTGATGGCAACTGGAAGCACAGAGAAACCTAAGGCAAAAAAAAGAAGAAGGGGAAGAGGGTAATAATGACTGTGTAGTTATGATAGTTATGATAATGACAATAATGATAGAAATAGTATTGATAACAATGATGACAATCTACACGATATTCAGCCCTTGCACAGGGGAGAAAATGGAGGGGTGTAGGTGTGATTTTCAAACGTTTTAATAGACCGTGAAAATGTTGACGCAAGTTGAACCTAATATGAAGTCTGCTTACCCCATCCAAACACATAATAATAAACCATTTGGATATTCTCTGTTCTGAATACTTGGACAACCTTCAGGTACAAATGTAAGCCCTCCACAAACATCCAGGTGAACGCAGTCAGGAAGAAGTAATGTATTGACACTGCCACTACTTTACATAGCACCTAGAATAGGAGATAGATAGATGACCATTTGATTCTTAGTTTACACAATTAAGGTGGCTAGAAAATCCTCGATAGATCTTCTTACAACTTCCGCAATCCTTTTTTGGAGTCTCAACCAATAAGAACCAGCCACTTCAAAATTATGATGCATTTTAGTTTTAATCAATTGGGTAGACTATATTTTTTCACATTGGACAAATTTTCAATATGTTTCTATTTATTGTGCTAAATTTGAAATTAATTCCTCCTGTCGATGAGAAACTACCAGTAGCGAATTTAAAGTATTTTATAAAGTAATTTAAAGTTAAGTTTGATTGTCTCAGAATTTAAAAAAAAAAAAACCCACGTGAGATTAAAAACATATGCAAAAATTAAAACTAGTTTTTTTCACACTAAGACGCTATAATTGTGATGACAGGGATGGGCTGAGGAGTATGTCCTTTTCCTTTCTTCAGTTTTCATTAAAGTTGACAGCTGATGGACCAATAGTAACGCCAATACATGTGAAATTATCTAAATAAGCGTAAACGGCATTATTAGTAGAACAGAGGGAAAAGACAGCAGCTGTCATATTCATAACATAAGTATAGCGATAAACCGATACGAGGAAAGGGGTAATATTATTCGACCCTTTCACCACAGTTAAACCGTCTCGTTCGGTACTCGATGTGCAAAAATAAATACTTTTCTAAATTGTTGCATGCATATATGTTGCATTTCTCGTAGATTGTTCTTGGAAAAGTTGTAGGGAGCAATTTCCAAGATAAAAGGACCTGACTATAAATTAGTGTACAATAGACATTGAAATAAGAATAGAATCGTCTTACTGGACTGGACGTTTCGTTTATCCCAGCCAAAAAAAGTACGTTAGCGAAGAGAAGTGACACCACGAGGTTGGTATGAATTTTGTGTCGTTCCGATGACAAGGACCTGAAACAAAGCAAACAAGGAAAAAATAACCAGTTATTTGGAAAGGAAGGCAAGTTCATCGAGGTGATTTATGGAAGAGACATCATCGGGAACGTGAAGTTCTGGCAAAAATGGATCGAGATAACGTGGGAGTAAGATTTCCGAGGAAAAATAATATTTAATCTGATGCGAGTCAACACCTTAGTATATGATCCATATTTCGTTTGCTCTAAAGGTACTTTGCTTGGAATGATAAGCCGAGAACACATAGAGTGTTGAGATGAAGTTCAAAGAACTGTGAGAGTCCACGAAGATATTTTTTATTAAAAGATACTCTATCGGAGGACTTTTAAATTTCAAAAAAAAAAATGCAACAATTTGACACAACAACAACTTGACCACGGTTGCGAAGAAAGTGAGGTGACCAATTGTTTCACTCCCTAGGAAAAAAAAAAAAAAAGGAAGAGGGTGGAGGCAGTATACAATAAAGCGTTTTGAAGTGAATTCCGGTAGCCATGGTGATATACCAAAACAATAAAACGGGGGCCATGATGCCATGGCACACCAGTCCCGCGAGATTTCAAGTCTTTTCAAAAGTTAACACTCACATCACTTTTAATAATTTGAATTGTTTTTAGCCGCGTGCATCTCCATACTCTTAAGACAAAAGTTTAATTGGCTGGAGATTTATCTATACATTCAATAAAAGGGTTTAGTTTTTAGTTCGCGACAACAACATTTCCCTGACTCTTACAATCACAATGTCAGTGCATGTGTGATAAAGCGTCTGTATCTGAATATGTAAAGAAACCTTTTTCAACAATTAACTGTTTAAGGAAGGGAACCTTGTAAAAGAAATAAAAAAAATTCTCCCCTGTACCAAGTCCTCACTGAAACAATAAATCGTCGTAACAAAGTGTCACTCACTCGACACTCAAGAATACTATAACGGTGATGATCAAGGCTCCCGTTGAGACTCCACAGCCTATATAGGTTATGATGCTTAGAGCGAAGTGATCCTCCTCGGAAAGCTGAAAATTGGAGCAAATCAACTAAACAGCTTATACAGAAATAGCATCTATAATTTCAAAAACAGGTATCAACCGTACAGTTATTTAAGCGTTCCCTCATTCAGTTTATGGAGTCCGATTCGGTCTGTTATGATACGACTGATTACAAAATAGGACGACTGCAAAGCGGGACTCTTATTGTTAATCACGGATTGTCGGTCACAATTTGACGACTCGAAGTCCTGTTACTCATAATCATTACAATTACAATTTCCAAAAAAAAAAAATTTTTTATTAAAAAACATCTTCGGTAGAGAAACTGTGTAAAATAAATTTTCACCAGTTTGGAAATTTCCCAGTTTTCTAGGGTAAGTGGTTATTACTATAGTTATTGTGATCCATTCTGTGATTGGTGGATTTAGCCGAGTGGACTTAGTATGATTGGCTGCTTTAACTGTCTTATTCCAGGTGTCCGATTACAATCAACTGTCCGATTACAGCCAACTGTCCGATTACAATTACACTGTCTGATCACAACTCTACAGAATAGCAAGTGAAAAATAAAGCAGCTAATGCACCAATCACATTTGATGAAATTGAGGTAGTGAATAAGCCACTCACATCAGTCTAAATTCCCTTTATTAAAAACACCCTTTCTGACTATAGAAGGAAGCTAAACTGTTATAATTAGCTCATTGTTGCATAAATGAGAAACCATTCCGGCTCTATTATTATTAGTGAACTGCGAGAGTTTAGCAAGCTTTGTCAAATGTTTGGGCTACTTATCCATTAGCAGTACATCTGAATGACTTAATTCTGAAAAAAACGCACCTTTTCACACAGTTAACGGAAAGAATTCATGTTCTATGAATAGATTTGTTCTTACAGACCTCCACTTTTGTGTGCTGCATAAGGACCGCGAAACTGGTGAAGTGTTCGGTTAGGCAAACAGTAATTGAGGAGTTTGATTGTAATTCTAATTCTTTGACCCCATTCGTCCACCAGGAACTAAAGGAAAAAGTACCAAGCGTCAGTTAAAATGACAGTCTTTTACAAGAACAAAAAAATTCATTTTCATTCATAAACACTTTTAAAACTGAGATTTTAGATTATTATCAGACATTTTAATGCATTTTTCGGTTTTTTCAAGCATTTTATCACAATTTTTGTAAACATTTTTAGTGATTATGGTGAATAAAGTTATTATTCTTTTAAAACTGAGTCACTGAAATGTGAAATTATTTCCTCGGGTTGAAATGTCATTTTACTGTCAATAGCTTCCGTATACTTCGCCGAGCCAAACGCCCTGGAGAGGTCACTCCGGTCTCGCTAAGAGAAACAGCAAAGAAGGCAGCTGTTACGGGTTGTAAGTCCACAGGTTGTCTCTGATGGTGGGAGGGATCTTCGTATCCCACTGGTCAGCTCTTCTTAAGATGGGCAGCCCTTGGTCAGAAAGGTGTTGACTCGTCATTTTCTGCCTGCTTCAGAGCGTGCCTGGACAGACAGCATAGACAGGGCAGTTGGAAACTTTTTGGCCTTTTTCCTGTCTATTTTAGTGAGATCAATCAGGATTCCAAAGCATTCCAGAGTTTTTTTAACATTAGAGATGGAAGCAAAGGTCTTTTAAGTTAAAACTTTCTGGTGTACGAGATTTCGTCCAACAGTTGCTAAAGCTCTGAAATGTGAGAGGCTAACCCTGCTTCGTCTGTGCAACTCATCTCTCACAAGAGCACACTGATATGTTTGGTCTAGGTCCCCAGATCAGCAAAGCCGAAGAGTCTTCGTTCAGCTCCGGTGTTGATGGTGACACCTTCGGAGGGAAAGCCGTAAACGACAACAAGGGAAATTTTCAAAAGAACCCCGCCCCTCCCTCACATGGATTTGACGGCATTCGAGGATTTACTTTCACAGCAGTCAGCATGTGAAATATATGATTGCATGTCTTTAGGAGACAGTTCCAATTGTCCATAGACTTGGGGGAGGTGCTTGATCGATGGAGGAGAAAAAAAAGCCGAGTGGCTACAATGTTAGTCAAACCTTGGTAGCTCATACAGGAATGGGGATTTTGCTTCGTCCAATTAATCTGTTTTGGCGGTAATTTGGATTTTCTGAGAACGAAGGAGTGGGCAAAGTATTGCAGAGTCCTTATTACCATTATAGTCATGTTAACAGTAAGACAGTATGACAACAGTATATGAAAATACAGCTGGTACCTCTTCACCCAGTGAGGCGCAAGAACATAACCATCATTCTACGAAAAATGGAGGTGCTGTCCATGAGCAAAGAGAACGTTTTTAAAATCGTGAATGAAGTTTGTAAATAAATTTACCTTCTGTCTGTATTCCAAAATGAGCACTGCCTTGAACGGCCTTCGGCGGACTAAAAAATTCACAAGAAAGACGCTTAAAGACACCGTTACATGAGTACCTTTACGAATCTCACAGGATATAGAAGAAAATGTTTTCTCTATAAAAATGAACTTAACTTCCGAAATTGTGGCATTCAAAATGAAAATAAGGCGTATTGCACTTGTGGAAAGAGATAACAGAACAATGGTCAGAATTTGTGGAAGACACTTACTGCAAACGAATGGGTATATGACAGTGGCAGGTGCTCCTAAGTAGTCATCCTTGTTACAAACAGTTAAAGTTAAACCCACTAGAGTTGCACAGTAAGGCATCAGTGGCAGGGATGACAGGTCAGATTATTTACGTTACGTTGCAACTTCAACCTATCTCACCCAATGATGTCAATATTTCTGATTGTCCTCCGTCACTTCCCTATTCATTCTAAACTCCCTCACATATCTAAACAAAACCATGCAATTTTACGCCCTTGTGAGTTTTAGATACCTCTGTTGAAGACATATCTTAGAGGGGTGCGATAACTTACCGGGGTTTTGAAATACAGAAGGGCCGGAGAAGAAAGATTGAAAACAGGCACACCACCAAGTGCGAGATAGCAAGACATCACAAGAGAGGAAACGTTCAATTCATCTCCAGTTTCGCTAAATCAGTGTTAAAGAGAGAAAGTAAGTTCAATAAATAAATTCGTTATTCTCTTTATGATCAACATTTCAAAATGATTAAAAAATCATTTTATGCAAAAAGCATACTTTTGAGAAGAATTCGGCAGTCCACTTTCCACGTCTTTATACAGCAGGAATACATATGTGTAAATTCCTATGCGGGAACAGATATTACATTTTAATGCATTATAGTAATAGTCCCTATTTATTCAGTCAATGAGAAAATCGACAAAATTAGGGAACGAAGAAAATGAGAGTTTCGATCAGCCCTATTCAGCGACATCTCGAATAGGAGAAACGAAAACTTGGAAAAAATCTCGATAACTGCTGCGGACGAAATTTTTCTTATGTAATGCAAATCTAGGTATTTTTAAAGCTAAATGGTGTAGTATCATGTTATAGAGAAATATAGCATAAGATGTACATATTGCAGCTAAGGAAAGAAAGGTAGAGCGAGGTTTTACGTTCCGTAACATATGGTAATGTCGTGTGGTGTTATGTATCGTGGTGTGGTGTGTTGTGTAGTGTAGTGTAGTGAAATGTGGCAAAGAATAAAGTCTCTTGCCAGAAGGGGTTCTATGACTTCATTCCTTAACAACATGAACCTCACAGAGTAAAGCATGACTACAACCTTACCTTTAACACTTTGTACTGCTGCTTTAGGAATCTGCACAAAGTTGACATCATCGCCCCATGAGTCATCTTTTATAGCAGAGTAGTCAGGAATTATGATGTAATTCTCCTCTGCTGTGGGACGTTTTCTTTTAATCACGACCACTTTAAGGAATAAAGGACGTTATAACTATCATACAGTGATCAGATACAGAGAAGTATTGACCCTCTAATAAATTTTCTTAATCGGAAAATATGTTGTCATCCCATACAGTAAATTTTTGCAGCCCTCCTTTTTTCATAACTCAGAATGACACAAAACATAAAAAACACACGAAAGGCACATTGGATTAAACTTCGTCAGAAGCATTAAGAACATTGCATAGAGCTAAAATGAGGATTTAGCTTCATTATTGACTGACTGAATTAAAATGAAATAAAATATTTATGGCGATTCCTTATATTTAAAACTTGTCACAGATTTCTAATAAAACTCCGCACACTGTTGTAACCCGTAAAGGAGATGTTGAAAATTCTCAACGCGCTTGTTTCTGTGGTAAGACGTTTTAAAGACAAGGAAAGATCCTTCAACATTTGACTGATGGAGACAAACCGAACCCTTGGAAAAAGATAGCTTTGGTCTGTAATTGGTGATGCCAAGTCTATTTCCAAATAATTAGTTTGTGTTTCAGAAAATGCATTTTGATATCTCAGTGACCATTTCTTCTTGGACAATTCTAGAGTCCTGCGTATGGAAGACATCTTAATGTTCTTTGAATTAAAAGCAACAATAAAGGAAATACTTACAAATTTTTTCCGTTGTAAGGGTGTAATCAATTCCGAGTTTAAGGTCTCCTTTAGCCACGTTAACGAAGACTTCTTGTAAGTTTGCTATCAAATCGGGCATCTATATAGAGAAACAGGGAATAGAAGTTTAAAAAAAGACAGGATATATTCTGGCTAGCTATTCTATTCTTCTTTTTTTGTCAGATGTTCGATGAAGAAGATGTGGGAAAAAGAACGTGCATGTTGCTAAGCCAGAAAAATTAGAAAATGCATACATGGGTTGATGCGAAACCATTTCGTGCGAATGTAAGACACAAAGATCGAACTAAGGTACAAACTACTTTAAAAGTGTAAAATTGAAGCTTATTACGCTCGAAGTGTTTTTCCAAAATTCATGGTTCTTCTTATCGAGACAGCTATTAGCAGCCTTCAAAACCTTCCGAGATGTATTCTGCAATAAGAAAGTATTTCATCACCACAGAGAGAAGTGTTGAACAAGGAGCACAAATGAATACTTTCGAACAACAAATTGTAAAGTACTGAATGATGTAAATAAACCATTGTCAATGAACTGCCAACTATGGAGAGTTTAAGTCTGAATAATAGCCGAATAGCTCGTTCTGCCAGGCCTCTGTGGCATGAAACAACCAGTGTTATTGCTCTCAGCGGAAATAATTGTCCAACGCAGGTTTCCACTGTTACTTACAGGTATTGATACTCTAGGGACGTGATTGGTAGTGTTTATCCGAAAAAAAAATCACAGTGATAGGCCCAGGCTTAAATCTGCAGGCCGTAAAGCCACACCATCTTCCTTTCTGATGAATTTCCTTTCCTTGAATGGTTGTCATTAGGTCGTAAATCGCTTTACTATAAAACATTTTTTACTTATAAAATCGAGGAAAGTGGAGAATTTTAACAAATCGGATCTGTTATTTATTATTTAACCAGACACAAAGCGTCAGTTATCAAAGCGAAGAGAACCTAAGGATGCGGTTTTAGACACACAATAGATCTCCAGATTTCTTCAGTGGGTGGTTTGATTGTTTTTCTTATGTTAGCTAAGAACATTCTCACCACTGTTAGTCTAATGTTTAGATGCGTTGTTGTATTTATTCCTACCTTCACAAATTCTGGATCCTCGTCAACTATCCGAAACATGATGGTTGGGTAAATTTTGAAAGTGTCAAGACATAATTCCTTGTTGCTTTTATTCAACAGTTCAGTGGATGCAAGATCTTGATGTATGGTAATAACTCCGAGAATGGCAGATTTGTTTATATTTTTATTTTCCTGAGAATGAAAAAAAAACCAGCTTTCATTTTAAATTGGAAGACTTACCTATTAAATTTGAATCACCAAATGTTTTCAGTTCATCGTTCAATCAGTTAAGTTGATTTTAGCATAATAATTTTTCTTCGCGGAAATGCGGTTAATCTTTCAGAAGTGAGCAAATATTTGTATGAGTTGAATGCACTTAAAGAAATGATAAATAATTCACTGTGTTCACTGAACTTATGGCTAGGCTAAATCAAACGTCGTCTCATGCGAGAGCGGCATACTCACCCAAAGGCTTACCTTGATCTCTTGCAACTTTTCTAACAGATCTTTTACGGTTACATCTGAAACAGTTTAATTATGAACAACAATAACAGAGATTATTAAATTTTCAACTCTAAATATTGCATTTCTGGTTCTCTGATTGGTTCGCTCAACTCCGGTTATTAGCTTTTGTAACATAACTCAGACCAACGCGAGCTCTGATTGGTCAAAAAACTATTGTATATTTGCCTTTCTACCATAAAAAAATGAAACAACTTCCCGTCTTGTTACATGGCGCCACACAGGCTTTTGGTTTGGAGGAAACGAAGAGGACACTTTGAACGCCAAAAAACATCGACAAAGATTTTATTTTTCCACAACATCAAATTTTCAATTGAAAATGCAGTTTAACTAACTGCTACCTCTGTTGTAAGCCTTTACTTTTCGCTGTACAGTTAGAGGGAAAGAACTTCAGAAATTCTCGAAAAGTTTGTAAACCACTTGGCTTGCGCATCGTTCATCACAAAATTTTCCGAGTTCTTCCAACATCCCGCTTGTAAACCGATAAAAAGTGTGGTTTATTGCTTAAATATGGAAATGCATCGTGACAAGTATTGGATGCTGAAAAATATCCAAACTCTCAGGATTTAATGAAATTTAAAAAAATAATTTTTCCATTTATTTTTGTTGGACACGAGATGGGTTATAGCCAACTCGGCGCTACGTGGCTCGTCGAGTATTCAGCATCTCATATCCAACTCATGGAATAACTGTTAAGTATCCCCAAAGGTCGGAGAATAAAATAAATACTTATGGACGGAGTTGCAGGGCCGGACGGAAAAATATTTGGCTTGAGGTCGTGACGTCCGGGTCGACCAAACTCAGCTTTGGTTGGTTTGGCTTCAAGACGGCGTCAAAATCAGTTCTCCTGGAGCGTAATCTTCGAGTGCCTGAAGTAGATACACTTGACAGCCACGTTGCGGCGGCCGGCTCTCGGCTCATTGCTGCAAACTTGTTTATATAGGTAGCTGCAATGGGTTGGATCTCAACAGCTCTGGGCTAAGGTGATTACTTAATATTTCACTACGCATCCTGCGTTGGCAATCACATCACGGCATTAGGTGAATAAGCCCACACGCATTCCGAGAATATGGTATTGTTTTTATCAATCAACGGATGTGGTAAAATAGGTATGATAAGTATTGTTTGGGTTGAGCCAGATCCCATGCAGACCTCTCACCGGCTCGCTTTACTCAAGGCCTTAGGGTTCCTCGCAGGCGCAGAAACACTCATGCCGCAGTGCTATCAATAAAGAGCTGCTTGCACTCTAAAAGATGGAAAGCTCATACTTTCTAAGATTACAAAGTTTTGTTATGCACAGTTCTTACTTGGTACACATACGCTGCTTGTACAGAAACAAACCTGTTGATCCCTCTGAAGAAGCATTGGTGGAGCCATTATTGGGTCTTGATGGCCATTTGTAAGGTTTTGTTTTATTAAAAGTTCCCGCCGTTTCATTTGCTATAAGTGAATGAAAGTTATCCGTTACTTTACTTTTTAGAGCTGCTAGTGCATTTTGTTTGTAGGTAAATGTTCGATCCACCAATCCTTTCGAAGTTTTTGACTTGCGTTTAAATTTTAATTCCTCGGATTAATCTCAAGTCCTTATATCCTTTCTGGCCACACCGGATTTATATCGAGTGCTATTTTTCAGCATTCGTGATAAAAATTAGCGTTGGAGACATCTTTGGATCATAACCTACGTTTTTCGATGGTGTTACACCATCTGTTTTATGCAGACTCGTACAGGTATGAAACATGTTGGAGGAAGAGGAAGTTATACTATTTGAATTTCGAAACTGAAAAAATCCATTAAGTAATTTTTTTTCTCGAATCTGTCTTAAATTCTTATTAATTGACATCCGTTCTTTTTCATCCGGAAAGTTTGGGTTGAATGATAACCTGTTACATAGAACTTTACCAACTTTGGCAACTTTGATGCTGTCTCAGATATTTTAAAACAGGTTCTTTAAGTATTTTTAGCTACCTTCCAGAAGAAAATAGCCATCCTCAGCTTTCGTTTCACAAAATGAAGAGGTATCTTCGCCATGTTTCAACGATAAAGTCTCAGCAGCAATCTCTCCTTCAGGTGCTATTATCTGAATGACTCCTCCTGCTCCGCCAGCTGGAGAGAAATTCTCACAATCCGGGTTAATTCCTTTCCCTCCATCCACAATTAGCTTTCCGTTGTTATGTATAAGAACCTTTAATTAATCATAACGGAGTTTTTGTTAATTCTCAAGATGAGACAAAGCAGACAGTAATGCAGTGAATTTGAAAATTAGTAAAATTTGGATGGATATGAAATTCCATGTATCTTAAGTATCTGATAAGAATTATGTAATACAAAAATGAACTCTATCATCGATCTATATATCAGGTTCTTGGACACGCTTAATACTGTGTAATTCAGGCTTTTAACCTTAGCAGCCCTAAGGCGAATAAGTCCTCCTGATCCTCCAGAGCACGTTCCTATGCTGCTACTTTGGGCTTCAGCTCTAATAGGTGCACCTGGAATGGGATCAATGTCACCAATTAATGTCACCGTAACTAAGAAGGGAAATCGTATCCTAAATTTTGAACTTAAGGATAAGCATAGAAAGAAAGTCTATAGAACTTTTGTAGCGTCAAAATAAGATTTTCATAAATCTCAAGACTGATATTTGACATTTGTTGAGCACGGTGCAACCATTAAATAAACTGTGCTGAGTACTATGCAGCCGTGATCATTTTGGTTTCCTGTAAAGCGCTTTTCTTCCGAGGATTACAATTTTATTCATAAAGGCTTCATTGTTTATGAAATTATTAAAATGATATTTAAAAAAATGAATATAATTAGTGTCCACCTCATTGCACGGAACAAATTTGAAAAAACAGAACTATAATATAAAAACCATTCTCCCAAATTTAAATTTCGTCTGTGGGTCTGACGCAACAGTTCAAAGGGCAAACCAAGAATGTGTTTGTGGATGGTGTTGTTGTGGATTTAATGGTTGGCGAGAGAAAACTTTTAATAGATTATGCTGTCCATGTTAAGTCAGCTACTTAAATGAAAAAAAGAGTGACATCGACCAGTTCTTTTGAAATAACCGGGTACTTTGTCCGGGCATCGGCGAATGGTTCTTTGCCAAAGAATAACTTTACCACGGATAGCAAATTCAACATGTCTTTCCGAGACCTGTGAACACTGTCTTATCATTGACAGTACATAAAGATATGAATTAATTAAATTCTTACTCTGACTGATCTTAATAACTATTTAATTGCAGCTTTTGACAAATTTAAGATATTGTTTATTGAATAATATAGCAAGTTTATTACCTATGATGATCTCTCCTTTATCAGCCACAAGTTCCAGGGCTCCACCACCAGAAACGTTTCCTTGTTTTCCTATGCATGAACCTGAATGAAAAAAATCAATCAATCAGTTGTTGAATAACAACAATGCATGTGCTTTTTGGCAATGCATTTTCGGCTTCATAATCAAAATGAAACGTTTCCTTAGTCTGTTTTAGTTAAATAAGCAAGGTATTCGCGTAAGTTTCCGAGCTTGTCGCATTGAAATCCATGCGAATAGTCATAAACAGTTATAAAAAGATATCACAGATAGTGATATATCTGAGACAATTCATGTGCTTCATAACTGCGTTGTCATTATTTAAGTAGTTTTTTTTACTTTAAATGAAAGTCATAATAATCTCGCCTCCGCTTCCTCCTAATAAGGAGGCTGTGTTGTTTCTATCATACGATTTAGGCAAATCAAAAAACATTTGGCTTTGGGTTTTCCGTCCTCCATCTCCTCCATGACTTGCGCCTGGCGTACATTTGCCCTCCAGTCGGAAAGGCTGCTTGATTGTTAATCCTCCAGGTCCAAGTCCTAGAAATGAGCACGATAACAACTAAAACTCTATTTTAAAAGACGTAATCCATCATCACTTGCAAAAATGTGACCGAAAATAATATGTAATGTTGGAGCATGGGTCCGAGGGCCGCAAAGGATTAATTTCACGGTATTCTTAGACCTTCGTCTGGGTATAACGAAATTGTTCGGTTCGAAAAAGCAAAGAGGAAATTTGTAGGCGCTTAAAGGGAAAAATATCTGTTTATGCGTGGATAATGATAATTATAATAACAAGCTATAATTAACTTGCTTTAGTGTAGCTCCTAGCTTTGATTGCGTATAATCTGAAGATAACGGTGGTAAATTGGTAGCGAACGTACATGTAGCTTACCACTAAAATAGGCCTTGTTTTATGAAACAAAATAAGCTAGTAACCTATGTACGTATATTATGTAACAGCTCGATTTTCGTGTTATTTCCATATTTTCTTTACATCCCGCAGTTTACAAATTCACACGTGGAGGCTCTTTGTTTATGGAAAATCTCTGCTCGTGTAAAAATCAATAGCGGAAAAAAATAACAGGCCCAAAGAAGAAAAAAAGAGTACCATTCTGTCAAGATAAGAAAAGAATTCCTTTCTGAAAGCGACTGGTACTGGCGGAACTCCACGCTAGCGTCCAGATTTCGAACAAAGAAGTTGCCGTTATACAAGAATTTTCGATACATCATGTTAAAAACGAGGTTTCCTTTTCGTTATGCAAGTACCAGCCTTGATTAAAAAAAGCCTCAACAATCGCCTCGATATACTATATACTCGAATCGTAATTTTGAAAGCCGTATGTCGATTCCTTGTCTTGCTCCTCAGCACATTTTTCGGTTTCTCCATGACATTAAATTCATCATCTGGTTCAACGTTTAAGTCAGCTTTAAAATTTTAACTCTACTTGTACCGAGAAGAAGCCACCCTTGCGAAAGCGTCTCCGCTAAAGGCACATCCAGACAATTGGCCACAGCTATTGCACCCACGCCAATCTTCTCCATCTTCGTGACATTTCGGCTTTACAACAGGATTGTTATCTGTATGGTGCCGGCCTTTTGGATGCCACCGATGCTTTTTCCGAGGCCTCCACTGTTTATTACAGCAGTAGAGGATATACTTACAATCAACACTATTGAAAAATTGCTTAACATTTTATTCAGCGAAGTATACTGTTAACATTTCGGCTTTACAACACGATTGTTTTCCTGACCACTCGTATTTCGCTTATTTTTCTTCCCCACTCGTCGCCCGTGATGTAGTATCTCCCAAAAGCCTTCACCATTTTCAATTCGAAGTCGTTTGTCGGAAATTTTTTTCGGATTATGGCTGCTGAAAATCCGTATCGCTTTCAGAAAAGGAGGTTCAAATTTTCTTGGAAGGAGAAGAAAACCAAAATACGGAAAGAAAACTTGAACGTAAAGTTACGTATTCAGTGGCTTTGGTAATGGCATTTCTCGCGGGCGAGCCACGAAAATGTAGTATCTCCCAAAAGCCTTCACCATTCTCAATTCGAAGTCGTTTGTCGGAAATTTTATTCGGATTATGGCTGCTGAAAATCCGTATCGCTTTCAGAAAAGGAGGTTTAAATTTTCTTGGAAGGAGAAGAAAACCAAAATACGGAAAGAAAACTTGAACCTAAAGTTCTCGCGGGCGAGCCACGAAAATCGACAACTGGAAGATTTGCCACAGGCAGATTTGGCGGTGTACTTGAAAGATTTTTTCTGTCGGTAAGGACCAATTCGATAACAGAGAATTTTGTGTATTGAAATTTGCGCCCATTTTCTGGTTTTGCATTGTTTCAACGCACTTTTTTTATTAAGCCCTAACGCCAACACACTTTCCGATTTTTATTCGGGGATTTGTCGATCCGTTTATTTTCATTCATAAATAGAGTTGACTTTTCTTGTCAGTAAAGGGCTATCTTGTTTATATGATAGACAAGATAATACATGGTTGCTTGTTCAACTCGAAGAGAAATTATACTACGTGCGCTCGTGTATAGTTTTCTCTTTATCTTATGTAAACATTGGTGGATGAATTAATCAGGAGCGGACAAAAATAATCCTGTGCTTTTGTGACAAAAGAAATCTGTGAAATTTATTTCCACATATCTTTAATTTCACTCCGTCGAGAAAACTAGCGGTCACACTAAGTGCGCTCAGAGGTATTTTCGTTCCGAGGTAGAAAACTATGAAGCGTTTTTAGGATCAAAATTAAAACAGAAATTATGCTGTAGTGTTTAGCATTTCATTCGGCCACGTTGTTGAATTATGTTTCAACGCAAGGCGAGAGGTCAATCGATAGATTTCATTACATATTTCATGCTGTTGCTGCAAAGCCAATAATTACAAGTTCACAACTATGTTTTATCTGTAGATTAAATACTTTATGCACGAGTTGGTCATAGACATTCTTTGATTAGATAAAGTAGATCGTTGAATTTATTTGACATATTGTGGTGTTTTAATAGATCTCTTTTTTTATTGCCTTTTTCTATATTCTTTGATGTAGGTTGCGTTTTCCGAGGGAAACGTACGCTTTTGTGTGATCAACCTTGAAATATGTGATAAAAGCTACCAATTTACCTTTTACCTTGCCTAAGGTGTAATTGAAATCGACATTGCGCCATGGTCTCGAAACATTACAAAATTAACAACAAATCAATAGGAAATAACTCAATACAGTTATTTAGTTGTATTAAAGTGTACACAGCCTGTTTTCGTACCTATTGACATTTTTGACAAACAAATTACGGCGGCTGCAAATATACATCCTCAAAGGAGAGAAGTCGTTGTCAGCGAAGATGGAAATTGTGTTCAACACTAATATTTTCTACAGTGATTTCTTCGGCTGATCTAACTGATTAATCATGCTAGATTACTGTAACTGCACAATTCCTTTCAATGCTACGTTCAGTAGCCAACGCATTCCACGGAATCGCCTTAAGCGCCTTAGGCGTCTTTTCACTACAATTAATTGGTGTTATACGGAGGATGCATCACAAATCTGTTGATGGTGTTTTCACTGGATGTTTCCAAATGAATCGGCAAACTTCGAATTTTCCTCATTTGAGTCCTCTCATTAAGTTATGTTAGCGTCATATTCACCATAAGAAAAAAAAAGTAATTTTATTATCATTAGAATGAAGAGTGTATCATTGAGTTGGAATTTACGGTCCCTCTAATTCCAGAGTGTATTACCACGCAAATTGTCCCACTGTGGTTCTCAAATCAGACTGTTGACATTCAAACACGTCCGAGAATTTTGAAAAAGGTTTGACTGGAACTTCAAAATACCATCTTATTTATAGTCTAGAAATTAAAACACTTTTATCTTCTTCCACTTAAGGCTGGGTCATCAATAATACTTTTTTTAGCGGACTTATATTTAAACGTTCAACTATGAACGTCAAACTGTAGAACATTTCGGACAGACCAATCAAATCATCTACACAGAAGCAGATTTTTTCCGCCTTTGTTTATTCTCAGAAATAAAAACTGAGGCAATTCAAACTCTTCTAACCTTTATAGAATAGCTTTGAAGATGTGTCGTAATCTGCTGTTGAATTCTGTGTAAATCCACCAAGACATGTTGTATCAAACACTTCCTCCCCACAAGTCATGTTCACATCAGTGTGTATTGAGATGTTTCCATTCTTACTTTCTAACCTCAAAGCGTACTTCCCCAACACTTTAACTGTTGACCCGTTCCTGAACTCAATGTTGCCACTGAGCACTACATGAGCAAAAAGATGGCTGCCGTGTGGAGAGCTTCTGTTTTGAAGGGTTGACTTGTAATTAGAATTTGAACTGCTGTCAATGGAAGGAGCAGTTGTGTTGATCGAAAGAAGTTCACCACTCTTGACTATCAAATCGCCTGTAGCCAGAAAAGAAAAGACCGATGGTTAGAGCGTCCGTTCTGAGTACGAACGATTATGGTTTCAGTTCTTCATCGCAACGGGGGTTTGGCTGAGTTTAATGTTTTGTTTTTTTTCATTCAGTCTAACATAAATGAACGCGGAGTCGACCTGAATGAAGTACAATGATGAAAATGACTTAAAAATACGTACAGTCATCGATTTTTTTCACTGGTGCTGGGTTTATTTGGCAAACACAGCTCTTTAGAAATAACAAGAGTTAACTAAGAGTCCTTTCTTAAGTTTGCTTCAAACCTTGGCAGATTAACTTTGGCCGAAATTTTCTTTTCTATCAAAATGAAATTGATGATTTAAAACTTCCAAGAAATTAAATTAAAATCTTGAAACATGCGTGAGTTATTGAGAAAGAGAGATCTTCGCAAAAAATTTGCCAAACTAGAAAGCTGTCATGATTTCCGTTAGGCGCGAATTTATGACGCGTTATCAGGGTCAAAATTACTTTGCAAACCTTATTTCACTTTTAATTTCGAATTACATCTTTTATTTATTATGATTTTTGAAACCAGTATTTTCCTTTGCAAATACTTTTTGATTATAAAAATGTCTGGATAGGAGCAGATATGTAACGAATTTAAGAAAATAAACGACACTTTTTAAAAACATGTTTCGACAGTGCTTCTGTCATCTTCAGTTCTGATTTATGCAGAGTACAAAATTGAATTTAAAGTGTTTAAGAAAATGCTGACTGGACAAAACAAACAATAGTAACGGAACAATGTATGCAATTACAAGGAAAGTTTTAAATTAACATGAGAAAGTTGATAATGAATGAATGTGGATAGCTTCTTTGATTTTAGGTTGGAAAGTTGTGGAAGCGTGATCTAAGATGCTAAAATTCCAAGAGGTTTCGCCGACACAGCAGTCCGACTACAGACTGCAATTGAAAGCTCTAAATATAAATCGCTAGTGTTCTGGGCCGGGTTGTTCAAAGCTGGGTTAAGATAACCCAGGGTTGGTATAAAATTTGATTTAAGATCTGAAAGCTTGAAAAAAAAATTCAGCTTAAATCTTTTTGTCTTCAATTTGTTGATTGAAATGCTCTAAAAATAAACGAAGAAAATTATCATCAAACAGCTTTTGAACAGAGAAATATAGAAACCTAGATTAAAATTTAACCCTGGATTAGCGCTAATCGGCCTTCGACCAACTGGGCCCTGAGGCATATCGCTAGCGCTAAAGATCAAATGTAGTTTTATGTACAAACAGGAGCCCATTACTTCTGGCTCAATTGATAGTGTTAAACCTTTATCGCTTTTTTCATTTTTAAAATACAGCAGCCATAACAATGTCAATCGTCAGTGTTGCAACCGATCGTTTGGGTTAAGTAGAAATCACTACCGCAAAACGTAACTCGTTGGTGCTTGGATAAAGCCCTTCATACGATTAATTACGAAAGCTGATAAAGGACAATCAAAAAAAAATTAGAAATTGGAAATTATTGACGAGCCTTGCTGAGGGACGTTCGAGCAATGAGCAAAATTTCCACTTGTATTTTATTTTAAAAAGGGGTAAGTTTCAAAAGAAACTGTGGTGCTGCGTAACGGTAATTTAGTATTATAAAGTGAGTTAATAACGTAAATTGGCCACCGTTAAGAGTATAAAAGCTGACGTTTAGGGCGTTAGCCCCTCCTCAGAGCGCGGACTGATATTGATATTTTAAAACATTAAATAAGGGATATATTATTCCACCACTATTTCATGTTATAATATTTTGCTGTTTAGTTTTCGAAATAAATCGAATGGCAATATCTTGGCATCCTATTCACCGCATAAGTTCTATTCTGTGACGCACATCCGTCAGTTCCAATCCTTTTTCACTGCACCTAAAAGGTAACTTGTGTGAACAATTTTAAATCTACTACATGTATAAGCAGAAAAGAATGATTTCAAAGAAACAAAGATAAAGGAGAGCATCCATATGACAACCAAGTGCCAAGTTTGATGGGTTGGAAAATCACTCTAAAGACTGAGATCTATCAACATGACTTTCTAGTTTAACGCAGAAGGTAGCGCTTTTTTTACATCAGAATTTGCTGCTCTGTTGCGCCTGATTTGACGTGGTGAAGACATATTTTTAAAAGGGAAAGGAATATGTTGTTTTTTGCTGCTTACCCTTGAACGAAGAAACGTTTCTTGTTTAATATTATAAATGTATGAGTGAGGAAGCCAAGAGTAAGAATAAGGCTTTCCTTGCGAAACAGAGATGAATGGCAATAACAAACCGAGTAGTTTTTGGAAATTGTCGGCTTTTCCATTACGACGAGAAAAAATAATGGGTCATAATTTTCTCTTGATTTCGATCGTTCTCGTCCTCAATCCTCATAACACTCTCAATAGTGTGACGCACTCCCCTGTGATTTTCTACCTAAACAAGCTGTGAGTTATCAATGGTGAAGTCCCTCACGGAGCCGTTGCGAGACCACTGTAAATAGGCTGAAGGCCTTAAGAAGTAATTCGCACACCCCGTCCAGATTGAAGGTCAAATGTCAAATAAAACAATCGAATGCGTATCCGAAACATGTTGCTGAAGGGAAGCCCTCTTTTGGCGCATCAGGGTGGGCTGAGATTCGCCACTAATAATAAAACCTAAATAGACATGTGCTGCTGATTCTATTCCCAAAGTTGGCTGCTTCACCTTATAAAGGAACAAGGGGTTCAGAGTCAGAGTCAAGGTCGTGGTAAGTTCTATATGTGATATTATTGTGCTTGTTTTTAAAGTGAGATACTATAAATTTTACAATACAGTCAGAGGGACGTGGTTCTGAAAACAATAATTCTGTGTTGTAGGATTTTAATTTCTTAAGAAGAAAAAAGGTTTTGCATGAAACTAAGAGGACATTTAACTTGTTCTTTCATTCGTGTCAGGTCGTATTCGTTTCATTCACACCTATCTAGCATTTGGATAATAATCAAAGCTCCTGTGTATATCTAATCCAATAGACATGCTTAATCTGTGCCTAAGAAATGCACTGAGAAGTTTACAAATGTGAAATGTATACTTTGTGTTCCACCCTCGAGGTCAGTTATCAACGGCAAAACAATGTTCAGATCCAGTAAGACGGAAGCCGTTGTTGGTGTTCCCAGTGTAAGAAATGAGTAGAATATGGCCATTTGAAAATAATTTTTTTTAGAAAAAAAAATATTTAGTACATGGGCAGAGATTCTTCTCTTGTGAAATATTCGTTTGGTCACGTCCAAATTTCTTGCTGTAGCCACCCTGATTAACTTAGGATTTTTCAGTGTCGGTGGCAGGTCAGAGTATATACAAATCGCACCCTGAAACTAAATTTCATCTTAATTAAAGTTGAATAAATCTGTTTTGTTTGATAACCTGATCTTGCGTGTTTAATCTATGGGGATGGTGGAGAGCGATCGAATTTTTTGGGTTCCCGAGGGCTTTTTTTCTGTTCATACATCAAACTTGACAGTTACACTCGGTATCCGTTTTTCCTTTTTGGTTTATCATTTTTTTCTACCTATCAAGTTTTCACTTCTGTGATATCTTAGCGAGAAAGCTTTATGTCAGTCTTTTACCTTTGGTTTTGTTAGTCATACGAATTGAATATTTAAATCTTCCTTGATAAATTTCTATATTCTCTAAAACTGTTGTTTATATAAAATATATTGGTATATTTGTGGGGAGAAGTTACAAGTTGAAGAATTCTCGGAGTCTGAGAGTGGGAGAGTTAAAGCAGACATACGATGCGTGAACCTGAATTTCTGATATAAACAGAACAACGGTGCAATGTTATTTTAAATGAGATGGAGAGGCTGGAAAGCGATATGTTAAGCTGTTACTATTTTCCACACTAGTTATTGTCGTTCATCTCTGTTTCGCAAGGAAAGTGTAATTCCAGTTTCTTAGTCTTAGTCGATCATCAGAATAATGAGCAAGACACGCTTCCTTGTTCGAGGGTAAACAGCAAAAAAAAGCTTACATCCCTTTCTCTTTTAAAAATATGTCTTCACCACGTCAAATCAGGCGCAACAGAAACCAAATTCAGGAACAGCAATTTCTGATGCAAAGAAAAAAAGGGCTACAATGTGTTCTCAGTCTTTATAGTGATTTTTCCACATGAGCTGCTTGCATTTATCTTTGTTTCTTTCTATCGGTCTTAACCCTCAAACAATTAGGACTCTGGAGAGCACACGGTATTTTTAAAGGTTATATTAGCTGCTGAAAACTAAAATGAAAATCTATCTTTTTCCTACTTTGGAAGTAGAAGTATTTCGAATAAAATTTAGGAAAAATTTAAAGATAGAAGAGTTATAATTGCTGCTCACACAAGTTACCTTTTGGTTTCAGTGAAAAAGGCATGGAACTGACGAATGTACGTCAAAGAATAAGTGATAAAAAGCTGGATTGTTTTGAATATTTAAAATTTATGCCAGCAATATGATGCTGAAAATACTGCCGTTCGATTTGTTGGGAAAACTTGAAGTCAAAATACTATAAAATGAAATAATACTGGAATGATAAATTAACATATAATACAAGCGGAAACTTTGCTCATTGCTTGAACTTTCCCTCGCCAAAATAATTTTTCGAGTTCTTAAAAATATTTCTAGGTGTGTTTTTTTATGTAAGCTCCACCAGCGATCGATATTTTTGGCACAAATGGCTTCCTATACCATAAAGCCCTCAACCTTCGTCTAAACAGTGCATTGTAGCGAAACACGTTCACTCCCTCTGGAAGGTAAAAGCTTTGGTAGTTCGCCATTATTGTTTATTGTTTGGTCAATTTAACCTAAACCTCCGCTTTCAATGACATCTACAATGGAGAGTCTCAACTTTGGAGAAAATAAAAGGTTTTTCGACCACACAGAAGGACGAAGAAACCAACTTTTAGTTGATGTGTTGGCTACAGCAAGCTAAAGTTTTAGTTTTTTGTTAAGGCACGACGGCATTAAAACAGACGTATAAATAATTACCAAAATGGAAGAAACAACGCTGTAAATCTGAAACCGAGCTTGATCGGGAAATAATAAAACAATGCATTTTATGAGACTCTCACAGTAAAGTTATTATAAGAAATAGTTTTAGCTCTGAGAAAGCACAGCTTGATTGACAGCCTATAAAATAGTAGCCACAACAGCTTGATCCAAGCTCCGATTATAAATGCGCTTAACAGACTTTATAATAAAGTTCGGACATAACGCACGCTATCATTGGTTGAAAGAGCGTGCTCTACGAGAGTTTATAAAAAGTTTAGAGAAATACGCGCGCCGTGATTGGTCAGAACGAGTTCATTATATTTCCATAAAGCAGGCACCTTGCGTCACACGATTGCACTGTTGAGATAAAATGCACGCAGCCTGCGTCATAGGTACGAGCGCGCGCAATTCACGTTACATTTTAGTATAGGTAATCACATGATTTCGAGTGCAATTTGGAATAAATAAGCATATATATTTTTTCAAAGACCACAAATTGCACTCGCCCTACGAGCTTGGGCAATTTTGTTAGTCTTTGAAAAAATTGACAAATGCTTATTTATTCCAAACTGCACGAGAAAAATCATGTGATTACGTATTAACAATATATATGAAAAAAAAGAGATAGCTTATCATAATTACGCAGAAGCAAAGCGCGCATTAAGTGCAAAAATAATTTATTGAAACTTGTGCATTCGGTCAAAACAACCGCGTACGATCAAAGCACCAATATACAATGATATTTCACATCTATAAAGCACAAAAAAGTTCAAAGTCTGACTAAACAGTTCAAGAAATTATTCAGTCTGTGTCCGAATCACTTTCGATGGAATGGAATCGTCGTTTGCGAGGTTTAATCGTGTTTCTTTTTAATTTCGGCGTAGAATTGCTCGAACAAAGTGTTAGGCTGGATCAGCTCGTAATTTTGATTTCCTTGGAAATTCCCTTCTTTAAACACCACTTTTTCCAAACGGACAATCAAAAAGCAGTGCTTTTTACAGTGTTTTCATTGTTAGAGCTGTTTTCAGCTGCTATATTTTGTTGTTGCGGTGGCGAAAGTAAACCTACTCAAAACGCCGGCCATTGTTTCGCTCGCAAATTTTCGGCGAAGCCAAATGTTGCGACATCTAAGGCTCACATTTGATTGGCTATTTGCGAGTTTCTTGATTATTGGCCAACCAAATGTCTGGTTTGTTACTTTCTTTGCACTGAATTAACCCTCTTCTGTATTGAATTACCTAAAAACTGCATTTATCTTAACCAATCAGAACTGAGTAATTATTTTTATGTATATTATTATAAAAGAAATTAAAAAGCTTGTTCCTCGAGCATTGTTGAGTTATATAAGCACTTGAAAATTTTTAAGAACACTCGGGAAGTGCCTTTGGCTCATGCTTCTCTGCACTTCTCTCGTGTTCTTAAAAATTCCCGCATACTTATATAACTCAAATATGCACTCGGCGCGTTTTTCATTTTTTTAATAGAGCATGCTGACGACACTGTTGTTCGCTTTGGAAATAAAGTTTGTTTTGAATTTTGAAAGTAATGCTTGGGGAATTTAACAGATTCTTTATTATAAAACAAATAGAGAAGTCTTGACTGTGCTCTGTTCTGTTGTAAAGCACTTAGGAAGCGGCTAGAGTACTCAAGAACAGACTCTACAATTCTTTCGCGCTGTGGCCCCTTCCTGGGTGCTTTACAACAGAACAGAGCACAGTCAAGGCTTCTCTATTTGTTAAGTAGCTCATAAAATAGTATGAGCATGACAGAGCACATGCAAGAGAGTATGAACAGTTTTTAGTATAATTGCTCAGGTGATTAGATGTGCGCACTCTGATTGGTTGATAATTGTGTCATATCTCGCTTTAAACATCTCCCGCAGGGTGATTATAGCAGGAGCGCTAAATTTCAAAAGGGTCGACTCGCGTTTTGTCATTGTCTTTTGAAATAGTGCTTGAGAAAACACTTGATAGGTGGAAAGTCTCGAGTGTAAGGAGCAATGAAATGTAAAATTTATGGAAAAATCACGCAATTTGAAACGACATCGACTCACAACATTCCTCAAGAGCTGCTTTTAAGTTCATAATTTGTGTCCTCGAGTAACGGGCTTCGTGCACACTTTTAAAGTATAGCTAGAGTTTATTCCTTCTGATTTATTCTCTCTAATGTAAAGGACGATTATTTCATCAAGACTATGCAATAAAAAACATAGGTCACTGTACTCGTCCATTGATTGAAAAAATAATTCGCCATGTTCTTAGAATGGACGCGTGCCGAGTCGCCTAATTAGTGCAGTGTGCGAAGTGCAACACTAAGGAAGCACTCTAATCTCGTTGAGAAGCTTTGTGCTTAAAAAAAAAATAAACTATACTACACTACTCGTTTCAGTAGTGTTCTTAGCTGCGAGGATCTCTTAATTTCATCAAAACTGACATTTGTTTTTGACATGACTAAATAGTTTCCACTGAAGAAGAATGGTTAGTTTTGCTTTTTCTCTACAAAATTTATAATTGAAGTACCTCTAACCATTTTTTTATTCTTCTTTTGGTTTTGCTTTTTGTAGAAAGGTTGTTTCAGTTGATCGAATTTTCTTAACTCCTGTCGAAAGGGAAATATGTTTTCGGTTCATAATGAAAGAAAATTTTGGGGTCACTTTCTAGGAGCCACGCTTTCTAGATGAGCCCTATACGTTACTGTTTGTACCGGGAAGTAGTTTAACATTATAAACAGTATTTGGGTTCGGCATGTTAATAATGCAAGTCAAAGAAGATGTCACATTTTATAAACAGTATAGTTTTTTACAAGTCCAAGAAAGGGAAAGAAACAAGCTGGTCGAATTAATTCATTCCTTAGAACGGCGAAAACCTTCTTCAAAACTTGCTATCACATCTGTAAGCTTTTAATCAGCTAAGTAAGTGTTAAGGAGTTTTTCTTAAAACAGGATAGCATGACAGACAGGCAGACAGACTAGCATGACAAAGCTAAATTTGAGAACGACTATCTTCAACGAATTGATCGAAACGGCGAACCGAACTCCACCCAAGAACACGGTTGTAACAATGAAATAAGAAATTTAAACTCATGATTGTGTCGTACTGCTATCTAAAGCAACGCGTTGTTGTAATAACTCATTCATAGTAATCATATGCTTCGTGCGCAAAATTATTTTCCGCTTTCATTAAGACGTGTCCCGAGCCACGGATGGTTAATTGAAACACCAGCACCGGACTGCGAGGTTACCTGAAGAACTCAACGCGTATTGTTGGCTGAAATTTCTTTATTTTGGAATTAAAACACTTACTAATTAATTACACTTTAAAACCCATTCTTTTTCTCTTCTTTTCCCAGGTACCTACTATTCAGTGTTGCGAAACTGAATATAGTTCATTGACCAACAGTACTATTTACCAACATGTCTCACGCTGGATCCTTATTTGAAAACAGACGAAAGGGCATCGCATTTAATAATAAACTAACTACTTTCTACAATGATTAAGGCTCAGCTCTTTTCTTTTAAGTTGCATGTGGGAATTTCATCCAAAACGTGTCTTCTATTTTCAAGACGTGTGTTGGATTATTTACAATCTTTAAGAACCTTCCAATTTTTACCGTTTCCGTGTTTCAGTTGTCTTCGTTAAAACGCTCGTCAGAGGTGCGATGTAAGCACAGAGCACAGAGGTTCATAAAAAGCAAATGATAACAATCATGAAAAAAAAAACCGTTCGAGAGAAGTCGACATTTTTCTACTGGTCAGATAACGTTTCACAACTCCTATATAATATGGATAGGTCGAGGCCAGTCATTTGTCAAATTAGAATTCGAGAGGCCTTAACCAACAAGAAAGGCGGAAAAAAAGGTTCTTTTTCAAGCCATAAACAGCATTGCCATAGTACTTAGATTCTTAGTACTTACCGAGTGCTTGGAGGGAGTTAAAGAAAACCTACCAAACGAGAACGGGAGACTTGAATTACATATTTTCAATTGAACGAGAACAGCTTCCTTTTAAAAAAAACACTCACACACACACACACACACACACACACAAATACATTTACAGACATAAGTGCTAGGCTATAAGATAACCTAATGCAAACCTGAGTCATGATGTAAAAGCTTGTGAAGAAAAAGAAGATCGATCGTGGCCTCATCATAACAATCTTCAGTTTGCCCAAAACCAAAGAAAGATTCAGCTTCACCACGCAAAGGCGAGCTGTTAAATTAATTGCGGAAGTTGCTCATTAGCAAATATAATACTTTTTACCATCGGGCAATAGATATCTCTAGGTAGACATAAGATTAATGAGGCACCTGCCCAAAACTGGTTTTTGTCAATTTAAGATTTTAAAATACAAACAGGGCGACAAAAAAATACTTCAAAAGGAGTTTCGAAATATTAAAAACCAACCGAGAGATCGCTTAAATACGCAAAATCTGCTGTACTCTGAAACTTTTGCACATGTATTAATATTCTAAACGGCACTACAATAAACGTTGAGTGGATCTCCACTCGTGACGCAATGTGTTGTTGAAACAAGAGAATCGCATTGGCTTTTAGGGGAAATTATATGTCAAATGTGTTTCGTCTAAAGCTCGTTCGACCGCCTACCGGGGAAGTTTAGCATAATTGCATCTCATCGCCAAACTTACGTTTTCATGTAAATTAAATATTTAACAAAATACGCATCGGCCAGGTTTCCATTTACAAACCGCCCCATAATCTATAGATAACAATGGATCATTTCACAAAAACATTCTCTTTTCCTTGAAAGCAATATAGGTTTTCTGGATGCGCATCTTTCCATGACTTTTTGCCTCTTCATTTGACGATAATCTTTTTAATTTGCGGAAGTTATTCTCTAATAACAAAAATGCCAAGAACTGTCCTCCAACGCTCGAATTCGAACTATGTCATGGCAGTGTTTAAAGAATTGCCACTGTGTCATATTTTCTCTTATAGTCTGAGCTATTGGTAAGAAGACACTATCCAGGGGTTCAAACAATCCCTTTTTGTAATCCATGACTTGATTTAATAAAAACTGTTGGGTCTTAAATAAATCATTGATGTTGGCGTAAATATTATGTTCATTCATATCCTCTTTCGCAAATAGGAAATTTCCTCCATTCAGCAAAACAGCTTGTTAATGAGACGGAAATTGAGTGGAAAGAGAGAGATCGGATGATTTTTGATGAGCTAATCTTCAGTTTTTTCGGTGATACGTGACTTCTAAAATTTATATCCTAGCGCCTTCGATGCGTAAATCTAAAATGTTGTTAATGGTTTCAATATATCATTTGGTATTTTGTGGAGGAAAGTTATGATGTTATGTTTTCTAGAAAAGAAGTCTCACATGGACAGTTTGACAGCTTTAAAGCAAATGATGGCATAAGTAAACCTCACAAAAGTAATTAAAAAAAACTGGCTAAGCTTGGGAAAAAAATTAGAAAATGTCATTTATCGAGTTTGGACACAAACAGACTTCCTAAACTCGTGAAAAGGACTTACAAATATGGGTTAAGATCATTTTTTATCAGTGACGTAGCTCTTTAGCGTTCATTTCGACGCTTTCAGAACAGTAAGGAATAATAATTGACATAGTCGTCTTACTTAGTTTCACAATTGCGTTTGATAAAGAAACCTAGACGACATGCATTTCAGATTCAACCATGAAAATGTTTTAAGTTGAGTTTGAAGCTTGAAGCTTGTAGCTTGACGGGATGTATGGAGACCTTAAGCCTCTTGAGAGATTCCCTTCTCGGACATTGACGTTTTGATCCATTCAACAAGTTTTATTCTGACCGAACTGCCAGTATAATAAGTAGATAAACACAACAGACATTTACATATCTAACTGAAACCTGGTTTGGAAAGTCAAGCAGAAAAAGATTCTATAAATCGAGAGCTTCGTCTTAAGGTAGTGAGAAACCTATTGAATCTTAACCCAAATCAGCACTGAGTGAGTACTTTCTTTTTAGAAAAAAAACTCGTCCAACATCATAAGAAAACCTTCCCGAAATTACGAATTATACTTTTCAGATAATATGTTTTAGCGTTAGGGACTATTTTTGTCACCTCTTTGTTTTTTTTGAAGAGAACAGATGTTAGGAAGCTGGTGCAACTTTTATCATTTTAGTGATGGGGGGTGGGGGGGGGGGCCGCAAAAAACACAGAACATAGGCAGATTGTTTGCCGGTAAACAAATGAATGAGTTGCCCGTAATCGGATCCTTGCGTTTGCGCAAAGAGTTCTGGGATCGTCACGGGACAAACATTGTAACTCGCTATAAAGGAACATGTGGTGAAAGGTTGCTTTGACGTCTAAAAAAGCCATTTTTGCGAGAGATTATGGCTTTTTCGCCGCAGTTTTACCATAGATGGTTAAAGATATGTTGGCACGAGGGAAGTGTAAGTTTTTGTTGAAATTACCATGAAATATGTTGAAAAACTTCTCTCCTAGCGTAAGGTCCATTGTGAAATCGTCATCGCGTAATGGTCTCGAAATATTACAAAATTAGCCAGGAATCCCTTGGAAATAGCTCATTTAAGTCTTTTCAGTTGTATTTATATAAGTACAGCCTATTTTTATGCTTGTTAACGTATTTAATGAACAAATTACTACGTTTTAAAATATACCTCCTTTAAGGAGAGAAGTCGTTGTCCACGGAGATGGAATTATATTTACCGGGCTGTTGCTCTCTGAAAGGACGAAATAAGCGATGGAAAACATAAGGAAATCCCTCGTTCAAGTAATTGTTTGTTTGAAAAAAAAATCCAAAGGTCTTCGAGCTGCAACTTTTCTTCCCGAACTCCTCGAAACATCTTGTCAGGAAAGCAAGATCACGGAACTCCGGCAGAAACTGTGGACATATCATCCGTTGTGCATCGCTCCTTAAGGGACCAATTTGTATCCCTCAACGTCACAGAAGAAAGAGTTCAGTTTTGAGCCGATTATCAACGCTGATTTGTTCGTATTCATCACAACAAAGAAGCAGTGTAGGTGATTCATCACTTTAATGTTCCGCAATAATATTTAATGCTCAAGCACGCCATCTCAATCTCCTGCTGCCTCAAGGTAGCTCTTCTAGCGCTCTTTTGTATTACCAAGCCACGAAAAACGCTAGAAGTAGACGTAACACACTTACAAAAAACTGGAACGGCTTAGTTGAGTTATTCCTCGGCGATTTATAGTTATGTTTTCAAAATTTCGAGACCATTACGCGATGTCAAATTCACAATAAACCTTGCGCGTGGAGACAAGTTAATCGGTAGATATTACTACATATTACATGGTTTTCAAAAAAAAAACTAACATCCCCCTTGTATTAGCATTATCCAAATCCATTTCTGATAAAGGAACGGCGAGAAAGCGAAAATCTCTCCCTAAAATCGTTTTTTTTTGGACGTCGGAACAACCGTTCGCCATACATTTCCTTTTAATGAGTTGCAATGTTTGCCCTGTGGCGATCTCAGAAATCTGTGCGTAAACGCAAGGATCCGATTACTGGCAACTCATTCGTTTTCCGATCTTGAATTCTAAGCGGGTAGTTTTAAAGATCTAAAACTACTTCCGTCCCACCCAACATTTCTTATTACAATAGTTCTGAGAAAGTGGTAATACGACAAACAGTTTACACAAGATGATAACCTTATCACGTGTCTCCTAGACAACGTATTTCATGACGAAACTTTACATAGCTTTCCACTGAGAATGAAAAGATTACAAATTTGATCATCAAATCAGTCCCCTATCACGGCTTCTGTTACCAGCCACGAGGCAATACGTCGAGTCGGGGTCAACAAAATGGATATAAAAGACCCTGGAATCGAAAATAACCAGGCTTAGAGACTGAATGACAACCGGTGCAGCTTTCTCGTTTACAAAAAGTTGACTTTTGCCTACAGATATTTAAGTCAACGATGTAAGCTCCGTTAGCACAGAAAGAAGCTCACAGTTTGAAATTTCTAATCGCAACTCCAAAACACTGGCGATTGTGAGGCACCTTTTCGAGTATCACGATTGCATGAAAGAAAGAAATCGTAACGGTCGTCGACATTATAATGTCGCATATTATTATCTTTGAGGGTGGTAAGCTAGTCCTACAGCTTCAAAGCAAAGTATAGATCATGACGATTCATGACATGTCTTTTATCAGAAGAAATATCCTGAGTAAAAGATGACTTTATGAATTATGCAATTATCATATTTTTACGAAACTTGGGAACGAAAAGACATCTTTATCATTGTCTTACCACATCATATGTCGTTCACTTACGCTGCTGAAATGGCTCTTTTGTCGCCATGAGCAACACCACACCTTTGGGTTCAGTGTACGGACAAGTGTTACCGCCTGATTACCGTAATGATTCGACTTAGTGCCCGGGGCGCTTATATACTTATGGTATGTTTTACAGAAACCGTAAAAGAAACAAATGTATTGCAGTGAATATTCTCCTGATAATGGTAGAGAATTTTGAAAAATTACAGGTCATAAAGGTTGAGAGACTGGACGAAGACCACCGTTTTTGAATTAAATGAGGCTGTAAGTGAGCAAAGGGAGCTGAACACGGTTGATCTCAATGTACAAGTACTCCAACAGCACTATCACTAAAACAGAAAAAGGACGCTTATTGGAATAGGGGCGCTCTTTGGAAGAAGGGTGCAATAGGGGTGCTTATTGACAAATTCGAGGGGGCGCTTATTGGAGCGAAGGCGCTACATCGAGTTATTACTGTAATCTGAAGTAAAGGATGCTTGCGACAGTTGCGTTCTAAATATCAAGGCCTCGCGTCGAATAAGTTTAACGCCACTAAAGGTGAATTGGCAAGGAAAAGATTCGACCGTTAAAACGCAATTCCCTAAAGCAGATGTGGAAAAGTTGATTATCAGCGTTTAGGAGCTAGGGGATACCCGATACGAGTGTGCACGAACATTTCTTAAATCGTATAGATCATGAATTAACATAAAGCGGCGCATAATGAAATCCACCAATGAAAATTCTGAGGCGGTAGTGGCTATACGACAACTTTTTACATTTTCTAGTTCGATATCCAACACAAGTCTTACATTATTGAGGTAACGGGAAAAAGCAAAATTTATCGGAAAATGATAAACAGCCAAAGAAATTTATTTCGCAGTTTTTTCCTGGAAAGTAAAAGTTTAATTGGTCATTTGTATAAATTTTAATTATATGAGTCTCGTCGTCAAAACTAATTACAGATTGTCTCTCTCTCTAAACCAATGGATT